GCCCAAATAGGCGACTTATGGATCCTTTTATTTCTTGTTCAATTACTGTTTTTAATTGTTTAAAACTTAACTAATACTAATTGTCCAGAGAGACACAATCGCTCAGTCAACTATAAAATATCCTCATTAATGTTCAATAATCCACCTTTATTTTGTGATTTACAAATAATGTCAATTGTCTTGGGTCTCAAAGTTTTGTGACTTTTAAAATATGGGTCCCCAGAAAAAAAAAAAAGTTTGGGAAACACTCATGTAGGCCCTGAAAATAGGAATTTGTAGTCCTCTTAAAATGCCCCAAACTGGTCCTTTTTAGTTGTGAGTCTCTTTCACAGTAATTTATAATGTTTGCTTTTGGTTGACCTGCAAATAGTTTAGTCCAGCGGTGTCCAAACTATGGCCCGGGGACCAAAAGCGGTCCACAGAGCATGTTCTGTAGTCCTTCTGGCCCAAATAAGTCGAATGTTTTTCTTTTAATTCACACAAATGTAAGTAATTTTACAACTAGATACTAACTGACATCGCGTCGCATCGTGACACGGATCTAAAATTAATGTTCCAAGTCTTATTAAAGGCGCAGTGGCTCTGTCAAAGCCGTTGTGTTAAATATTGAATCTGAATGACTCATTGTAATGATCACTGCCTGTGGTCCGCTGCTTCAGATGGGTTTAAAGAAGTGTGCCGATGGTTTAGTCATGAAAATACACTTAAAGCTGTAACTTTCCTGAGGGAGGGAGATGTTAATTTACTACTGTGCTATGGCCCCCATGTACATGCAGCACGAATTTTGGACTTCCGGTCATCACACAATGCATACTGGGAAGGATTTTCCCAAAAAGTGAGCATCAAACCGCCATGTTTGTTTTCCCAGTGGGATGCGTCTATTGACAAAGTCGATCTTTTCACGTCTTTTGAACCATATTGCTTTTGTTTCTGGTTCTGATATTGTCATATTTTAGTTATGGGATTCGGACATTGTAATTGTGTAATTGGATGTCCTAACAGCGGAAAACGACTCGAGAAATGGGCTTTGAAAGTTTGCGAATTCCATAAATGCAAAAGGGAATCAGATGTGTGTGACTGCAAACCTCTGTTCAAACTGTTTCCCTTCCCAACGGAATTGAAGAATAGTGAAAGATGAAGGCGATGGGCAGGATTGATCCACAGGAAGGATGAACATTTTGTATGTGAAGCGCTCATTGTGTATGTGGAGCGCTCAACCTTGGTTATGAATTTAAAAAGTCAACGCCAAACCGAAATGCACCAGCTGTTTGCCAAGAAACACCTTCCACTGCAAAGAGACCAAGACATGATGTTGCTGTAAAGTCAAAAAAGAAAGTGCGAGCTCAGCCTGTTTGTCTTCTGCACCTCTCGCTTAACAAACGGGATCCCACTTTGATAGCGCTCCACATACAAAATGTTCACTGCAAACTCGGGATGATTTCTTAGGCAGCCAAAGGTTTCCTTTTTCGTCCTTCCTGTGGATGAATCCTGCCGCATCACCTTTCACTATTTTTCAATTCCATTGGGAAGGGAAACAGTTTGGACGGAGGTTTGCAGTCACACACATCTGATTCCCTTTTGCATTTATGGAGTTTGCAAACTTTCGAAGCCCATTTCTGGAGCCATTTTCCAGTGTTAGTACATCCAACAACCACACAATTACGATGTCTGAATCCCAAAACTAAAATATGACAATATCAGAACCAGAAACAAAAGTGATATGGTTCATAAGAATTGAAAAGATCGACTTTGTCAATAGACGCATCCCACTGGGAAATCAAACATGGCGGTTTGATGCTCACTTTTTCGGAAAATCCTTCCCAGTATGCATTGTGCAATGATCGGAAGTCTGAAATTGAGAATGAGAAGATCACACAGGGCCCCTCTTATAATGTTTAACCGTACATGTAAAAGATGTGGGCTTAATACAAATAGAAATATAGACAAATATCTTGTGTAAACTTGATTTAAAAGTCCATTTTCTTTCTTGCTTGATGTGTGGACAGTCTTTGGGCGCCTCCTGCTACTCTTCTGAGGCCCACACTTTGGGGATCGCAGTTTTATAACATTAAACTTTTGAATCTCCTCAGAGACAGTTGATACTCAGCCAGTTGTAGCGGATTAAGATGGATATGTCTAAACATTTTAAACACGTCCTGAAGAATTAACAAAAAGTCTGAATGATGAACTTAAACTATTCACATTTCAGAGCCTGTTTGTACAGATCTAAACCACAGGGTTAGAAGTTTTTATGCATAATTAGACAGTAAGATATTCTGTTGTTTGTGGAGGAAATTATTCTTCAAAAATAGCAGCCTTTGTGATTTGTCAATAGCGTCCACTTAAATTGTGATTTCAATTCAGTTGCGATGAATCTTGCAGCCTGAATCGTACATGTTTAAATGTTAATCACACTCTACAAGTCTGTGTTTGTCAAGTCTTTCAATAAAAAGTTGAGATTGCATAAAGTTTAAGGTTTAAATAAATGACAGAAACTATCATCAGTATTAAACTAAATTTAAAAATGTGAGCATAAGTAAGTCCAAAAACTATAAATTTGTCTGCCAGGGAGATTAGCTGAGTGTTGACGCCAGCAGGACTCTGATAAGTTTATCTCCTGAACATCCAAACACAGACTTACGCCTGTGAGGACACGAGTTACAAGATTATTTAAAAAAATAGTTTAAACTTTTCACTCAAGGTCAAACTGAAGCAGTCTGATTTCTCTGGCCTTTTTTCAGCCCACATCAAACCTGATGATTTAAACGGCCGTGTGTCTAATGTTACTGTATCTGTGTGGAGCTTTGAATAAAGATTATAACAACTGTCCAGTACAAATATGAAGATGAGCCTGTGGTGCAGATGAATGTGAGAAGATGAAGGATCAGGCACAGGGTCAGAGCAGAAAACACAGGATCAAACAGGATTAAATATTGAGTTCATAATAATAGTCTATAGCACCGTTTGCACCATTTGTTAGAATGTAGCCTGCACGAGACCATAGCTCCAGTGGAATAGCTCTAAGCCCTGGTCCTCAGAGACACGCGCACATCCGCGTCCTCTGTCTCGCGGGGACAGACACGACACTGACCCTCTCACTTCTGTTTGATTTACGTTTGTGTGAAGTGACTCGCTGCTCATGTGGAGCTCGGCTCGTGTCCATTACACAGAAATCTGGACGCACTTCGTGTCCCTGTGTTTTGTCTCATCACATGGCACGCGCACATTCCTGCACTGTCTCCTCGCGCACGCACACATGCACGCACACATGCGCGTGCGTGCCGCTGCTCGGTGCTGATGCTGATGTCGCCACCATCACATCACGAAATGGCGGAACGCGCTCCTGTTGCGGCTCTGCTCGGCGCGTGCGTGCGTGTACCGGTGTGCCTCGTGCCTGCCGGTGCGCGTGCACGCGTGTGAAAGTAGGGACAGTGTGTCAAGCCGCGGCTGAGCCGAGCTTAACATCTGCCCCACATTCAGAAATGCACAGACACCGCGCGCGGCCTATTATCCGGCCTCACGCACGCGCACGTGGCTGCACGCGGTGAGCGGCAGCAGCGAGAGAGGCTCACGTCACATCACGCGCCAGTTGTTGAGGAAAAAACAGCAACAACAAACAAGCTCTGATTACTTCAATCACTGCCTGCGCCAATATGAGCGCCACACGCGCTGTTCTGCGCACGTTTGATGACAGGTCACACGCGCGCTTCTTCCATTGTGCTCAGATGTTGCACTGGCGCTAAAGTGCCTCCTTTTGTCCACAAAGCGCAGAGAAGCTTCACACACGCATCTCCTCAAACGAGGTTTAACACCGGCTCAATAGAAAGACGACCTCCATAATGTGTTTATGAACTGTTCTGCCAAGACCATGTCCATAAATAGACTGAACAATTTAGAGATCAATACAACGACCCGAGACCCGCGCGCTCCAACAGTCCTCCACACCAGCTCTAAACCGAGGACTAAAGGACACGAGCGGGTTTTTACGCACGGAACCATCACAGTCACATCAGAGAATCGGGCTAATCTGACAGCGCCAATCAGCGCTAAACCAGGACACAGCGGGCCTAAGTTAAGCAGGTTTAAGTCTGAGCAGAAGTGCTCCGTGCTACAAAACTACAGGGACCCGGGCCAGGTGTGAAAGTGGGACAAAACAACGAGACACCTCTAATCACAACAAAAACTCTACATTATTCACCTTCACAATTCACATACATCAGGACACTCTTGAAACATGACTAAACCAGGACTAAACCAGGACTATACGAGGACTATACCAGGACTGAACTGTGCTATACTGGGACTAACCCCGGTCTAAAATGTAGGAAACTGAACCAGGACGATAAGAGCTATAATTAGGCGTAATAAATCATAAGAAATAGGTCTAAACCAGAAACAAACCAGGGCTAATTCCAGACTAATCCAGGACTAAAATGGGACTTTATAATCTAACCAGGAACTGACAAATCTAGGGCAATGCGAGGACGAAACCAAATCCAAAATCAGCACTAAAAAAGCACAAAAATGGAGCTAAAGCGTTATCGTAAAGACTGACAAATACTAAACCAGGATTAACCAAGAAGCGAATAAGGACTAAAAGAGCTCTAGGTTAGAAATAAAACTAAACTAGGGTGAGATAAAAGAACACGAAACCAAAATAGACTAGACCCAGCAGTGAAGCGCACTGAGCCGTAGTGTTTTAATGGACGAGGAGGCTGCGTCCTGGAGGTGTTCGCTGGGTCTAATTGGAAACCACTGCACATCGGTGAAGACATGCCCCTACTGTCTGCCCGCGTGCACTATTTTACACCCATTCCTTGTCGTGCACGCGCCTGCACACACATACACACACATACAGGGGCAGTACGCGCACGCACGAGCCCAAGGATGTGAAGCGAGCGAAGGAAGGACGGAGGCAGGGACGGGGAAGGGTGGGTTTGGAGACATTTGGAGTGTCGGTGTGCTGCTGCTGGTGCTGGTGCTGGTGGTGGTGTGCATACCCGGAGCGCAGATAGGTCGATTTCATCCAGACTCCTCGCGGGGGAGTCGCTCGCCATCGTGCTCTCTGCGGATCTCAAGATGGATGCAGGAAAAACCATCGAAAATTCCCCCCGAAATCTCCTGTCTCTCCTGTCCCCCCGCCGCTCCTCTCCGCCGCCGCCGCCGCCGTCAGCTCAGAACGGACCCCCCGCCTCCACCCCCCGACCGGCCCCGTGCGAGACCGCGTCCGTGCGCTTCTGCCGCCGCCGCCGCCGCCTCTGCCGCCGCCGCTGCTGCCGCTTCTGCCGCCTTCACGGAAACGCGTCCAAATGTGCATCCAAAAAATCGCCAAGAGGAAAGAAGGGGAGGATAGTGGTAGTCCGGGCCCGCTACATGACGCTCTCCTCCGCTGCTACATAGCCTGTCCTCCGTGAGAAGCAGCTCCAGCGCCCGTCAGTGTACGTCTCCGTGCGTGCGTCTCTCCTGGCCGTGCGTCTGTGTGCGCGCGGGAGTGGCTTGTGACGAGGCTGCGCGCTCCACAGAGACGCCCAATGAGCAATAATAAAGACTAGAGGGACCGTCCCCGTGGCTGTCTATAGAAGCCTATAAGCAGCATCCAGTTCAAGCGGACATTTTCTGACTGTAACATGCTACTAGAGAATTCATACAAACTAACAACGAGCTGGAATTTGAATTATCCATGGTGTCATAATGATCAAAAATAATAACAAAATAGCCTCTGAATGGGCAAACATTCTCTAAAACCCATGATTAACTTTGATAACTGAATGCACTTTTTTATATTTGTACTTTTATTTAATTAATTTGGTAGAATAATAGATTAATTATAAACACAGACTGTATAAAGAAGTCGACTAAAGGAGTATAACGTGAGTTATAGTGTCCGGCTCCAGTCAAATGAAGCTCATTGAGGCCGATTTGGATCCAGGTTCATACTAAGAATACAGATTTATTAACGGATATAATTAAAAGGCGAAACAAAAACACAAGGGTCATGTAGAGCGGGTTAATATGAACATTTTAATATTTTAAAACTGAAATGACGAGGCTCACTGCTGCTACAGCAGTTACAGAGAGAAAAGCAACGATTTTTCAATATAAAGTCAAAGAATATGGAAGTGTCTCCATGAACACTTCCTTTTTAGAAAGTGGCAGCTAATAGATCCATTTATATCAGGGGTGGGCAATTTGTTTTTCCATGAGGCTACATGAGAAACAGAAAATATTGTAGAGGGCCGGACCAAAATGTTTAACTCAATTCTGCATAATATTAATTGTATTTCTTTATAAAAAATCAGTAAACAGAGTTGTTTTGGCGAGTTGGTAAGACTGGTAAGAGTTTATGTTATGACTAAGCAATGAAAAAGTGATATTGCCTTATAAAAACCCACCTCTAAAATAAAAGTAATCCAGCTTTAGTCCATGCATGAGGTAAAATGATAAAATACGTTTATTTTGTAATTCCAAATGAGCTTAAACGGGCCGGTCGGAGTCAACCAAAGGACTGTATGTGGCCCCGGATTATATAAACAGTGTATGATCAGTAGTGCAAACAGTAGTGCAATGGATTTTCATGAACTCTAAATACAGAAGCGAGGCAGCCAATCTGCACCATTGGCCTCTCAGATCATCACCAACACTCACATATCACATTCATAATCAGCAGGTAAGTAAGTAATGTAATAATAAGTGATGTCAAAAAAGAATAACTGTCAGTGGTTGTGTCCATATGGTGTAATGTTAACATAGTTTAATTCATAAATATAGGCTAGACCAGTGTTTTTACATTGTTTACTAACCTGATTCATCATCTGGTTTCACTTTGTGGAAACTGTCTGACCTCGCAGCATTAGAATTCGTTTGCTTGACAGTAGGTGGGTACTTTTTTTATTTAACCTATCGCTGCTATTTGGTTGTGACGTATGCAATGCGCCAAACCTGTAGGAAGAAGAGCAATAACGTCTTTCCCCTTGATAAAATTCACATTCACAAACATTCTCTTTGTCCCAGCTTTAAATCCTCGATCTCGGGAATCGTTGCCAACACAGAATGTATAGCTCTTCGCTGATTGGCTGCACTTGCGTTTTTTTTTTTTTTACGAACCATCTAGTGTAGGGGTGTGCAAAAATATTGGAATATCGATATATCATATCTTTTAATGTGATGATACAGTATCGATATCGTGGGCTACTGTATCGATATATCACCAAGAGTATTTTTACGTGTGTTTTACAAAATTATTTTGTTACAGTGCTACAGTTTTGTTGCTTGTGGAGTGAAAGGAAACTAATTTGGGCAACACATTTGACATTTTCACTGTTTTGATGATTAAAATGTTTGTGTTTCATATTAATTTTGCACAAGAAGTGGTTCAACAAAGACTTTTAGTATCACGGCCATGATTTAGCCTTTATTTTTTATTTGAAATATATCATATTGAATCAAAAGTGCACTGTATCGAGATATGTATCGTATCGTGGTTTAGGTATCGAGGTTTGTATCATATCGGCAACTTCTTAATGATACCCAGCCCTAGTCTAGTGTATTCTGATTCCTGACCTAGTCGCTGGAGAGAAATGAAATAGAGCGGAGGCACTAGGTGGCTGTTCATTGATTTAATTATTATTCTTTTATCTATTGATTCTATTAGTTCCGTTTGTTTAGAACATAATTCTGTTGACTTTTTAAAGAGAAATCATCTTGTTTATAAAATATGCTCTACAAATAACGTTGGATTGGATTGAAAAACTTGGAAGAACAAATGTACTAATAGATCCAGGTAGAGTTCCCACAAATATAATATTATGTCAAGTTACACCTTTAAATCAGATCCAGTTTTGGCATTATTATCAAAACTTTGCTGCTTTTACAATCACAAGATGGCCGCCGGTATTCCCACGGTAACAGAAGCTGTGTCCTCTCTAGCCTTTACTGCCCCTCACATGGAGACGCCCCTGGAGCTGTACTCACACCTCATTATAACATCAGCTCTGGAGGTGCGCGAGACGGTACTGCAGGTCCCCCGACGCAAAGGTCACGTTGTCATAACCAATAACCACGCGTTAGGCCGTTTGTACCGCAGAGTTCCGGTGTTTTGTCAAAGATAATTCATCAAACACAAATAATCTTAAATATGGGTCGAGCGTGCAAAGTTATGTTCATTATTCCAGGTTTGGAGAAGCAGCAGGAGACGTTTAATAGGCCATGTTTACGCGCCAAATATCTGATCTGTGTAGTTATCAGATTATTGAAATGTCACGCACGAGCAGGTTTGACGAGGAGAATTATGCAAAAAAGGGCAAACTAATGAGCAGTGTCGGGGAGTAACAGATTACATGTACTGGAGTTACGTAATCAGAGTACAAATTATGAGTAACTGTATTCAGTTACAGTTACTGTTTCAGTGAGTGGTAACTGGATTACAGTTACTTTGTTGAAATAAATGGATTACAGGGCGGTATTTTCCTGTTTTCACATTTTGGGCTATATCCCTTTTTTTTCTCAGTAGTTCCACTCATTGCCGGACACTAAACCAGGTCTAAACCAGGACTAAACCAGGTCTAAACCAGGACTAAACCAGGTCTAACCAGGACTAAACCAGGTCTAAACCAGGTCTTAACCAGGACTAAACCAGGACTAAACCAGGTCTAAACCAGGACTAAACCAGGTCTAAACCCACGTCTAAACTAAGTCTAAACCAGGACTAAACCAGGTCTAAACTAGGTCTAAACCAGGACTAAAACCAGGTCTAAAATAGGTCTAAACCAGGACTAAAACCAGGTCTAAACTAGGTCTAAACCAGGACTAAAACCAGGTCTACATTAAGTCTAAACCAGGACTAAAACCAGGTCTACATTAAGTCTAAACCAGGACTAAACCAGGTCTAAACTAGGACTAAACCAGGTCTAAACCAGGTCTAAAACAGGATTTAACAGGTCTAAATCATGCCGCGCGGACATGTCTCCTCATCTTCTGTCAATAATATTTTTAATACGGTTCAGTAAAGACTCGGCCTTTTCATTTTCTTTTATCAGACAAAACTTCTTATGTTACGATATCCTGGTCTTTGCTTCTCTACAGCAAATCAAGTAATCCAAAGTATTCAGATTACATTACTCACCTTAAGTAACTTAATGGATTCTGTTACAAACTACATTCTGGGGTATGTAATCTGTAATCTGTAGTGGAATACATTTTAAAAGTCACCTTCCCAACACTGCTAATGAAAGACAAAAATGTTAAAGATTGAAATAGTTATTTTAAAAGTCCTATATTACACAAAATTGACTCTTGTGAGCTTTAAGACGTGTTATCTCCTCAAAAACAGACCAAGAGCTGTCCATCCATTCATCCATCCATTTTCTTCCTCTTATCCACGGCAGAAGTCTAAGCAACGACTCCCAGACTTCCTTCACCCCAGACACTTCCTCTAGCTCCTCAGGGGGGATCCTGAAGCGTTCTCAGGCCAGCCCAGAGAGACAGTTGCTCCAGCTTTTCCTTCCGGTGGGACCAAGAGTTGTGTTTTGTTTCATTCACACATGTTTGAGTAACACTTTATTATTAGTCTTACTTTATTGTTAGTCTGTCAAGCTGCTTCTTCAGAACTTTTTCAGTTCTGAAGAAGCAGCTTGGATGAGCTGCGAAATGTCTTCAACCAAACTAACTTTTGTCCAGTCGACAAACAGAATTTTTCTCCTCATGGATTCTACCTGGACGACTGAGGGATTCTTCACAAGTAAAAAGTTCATTTCTAATTGATCCAAGGTAATTTGGGCCAATTCACCTGGAAGCCTGAGGGCCAAGATAAATTTGTCTGAGGGCCGCATTTGACTCACGGGCCATAGTTTGGACATGCCTCATCTGTATAATGACTTTGTATAGGATTTACCCCAGATGCACTAAGTGATGCAGTCCTCTCTTTATACCAGGGGTCATTAAATTAATTATATGATGTATTTACATTTTCCGCTGAATTCGCTGCAGAACAAGCTTGAGATTAAACAGTGACAGTCGACGCACGTGCAGAGTTCTGTAGTGCAGTTAAGGACAACAAAATGACTCGTGTTAAAGTATACTGGTAACTGGTATATTAAGCTT